TTTAAATTCCATATCTAAATTCTTTGTTAATTACTCTTTTTTTTTTTCGTTTTTTTTGTCTAAAGCAAAAAAATGAAGATTAGCTACAACGAATATACGATCCTATAAAATATTTTGCCATGCTCCTTTAGATAGCAAAAGTCATCTCTTACTGTTTTAATTAACTTCTGTCGCAACATATATTACATCTCCCTTATTATATATTTCCTGATTTTTAAACTAGATCAAGCTCTCAACTCATTAATGTCATCAAAATTTATTAATTTTCATGACTTATTACTTTATACACATCTAAACTATATTCCCTAACACTTTAGATTATTATGAATCTTATTGCTATCTTCATAATTTTATTTATTAATGGTACTGAATTTAACTTACCTATTTTTACATTATGCAGTTGTTATATTATTACTGTACTATTACTTCAGGCTACCTTAGACTGAATTAATTTTCTATAAATAAAAGAGTTCTCTTCTAATTATAAATAATTGTGCAGTGCTTTAGGATGGCTCATACTTCTAAATACTTATTCTTTCATTTCCATTCTCATTTTTTTACCTTTTTATTATTATAATAATTCAAGTTAAGCAATTAATTAATATTCACAAGCTATTTGTAGCTATGTGTTTTAAATAGTACTAATAAGTCATGCTTACAAATTAAATCCTGTTTCCGTAAAAATATCTATAAAGTAATTAAATATAAATTAAATAACCACTTTGCCCGACCTAAAACCATCATATTATTGATAATCTAATTAAATCAGTATAATCAACATTTTTTGTTTGAATTGCATTCAATAACAGATTTCAAAGATTAAAAGTTCAAAAAAAAAATAAATAAAATATTTCAATCAAATTTAAATAAAGTTTAAAAATTTACTTTCAATTGTTAAAGATGTGACACAATATAGTAAAAAATATGATAAGGAATAATCAAAATGTTGAAACTACTTAAGGACAAATTAATAAAGAGTAATTAGAATGGGAATCAATATTTAAGCTTGAATACCAATGATCAAATACCCTCTTAGCAAACATTTAATCAAAACTTCTTGGTTAATTTTTGGTAAATTAAATTAATAGCTATTTTATTGGAAATCGCGCAGGCTTATTGGACTACTTTACTATTTCTCGATCTAAAATTTTGCAGTGACCTTTTTAAGTAATACTTTCTTTAAACTTAGTGGGTATTGATAAACAAATTAAATGTTTTTTTTTGCCATTTAATTCAACAATTGATGAAGGAAAATCCCTTGGAATGAAATCCCCTTTATATAATATTAAAAGCCATAAATCTTCCTTATAAAGCATTACATCCAATCATCATATTTTATGATACAAATGCTTAATTTGAAATATCATAAAATTTTTGGTTATTCAAAACAAGTTTTCTAATTTGATAAAATAGGAGAGTAAGAAAATAACATGTAATGAAGACGAGAATGTAGAACTAGATTAGTTTAAAATTCAGTAATATCTGAAAAAAGAAGTATAATTTTGCTGTAAGTCTTTTTAAATTGGTACAACTAAAACATTTAATATTAAGAATCTTATCAAAAATTTGATAAATGGCTTGATTTTCTAAAAGAATGAAAAAATCTGCAAACTCTTAAAAATATTAAGTTGCCAAAATTACATTAACTAAAGCAGTTCCATATTTAGGAGATTGATAATATTACCAATTTGAAAAAGTAATTTTGAATTGATTAACTTTTTGTCTTATAATTTTAATGTCAATAAATTTATTTATTCACTGTAAATTATTGTTTATAGATTGGAATCCTCTAAGAATGTAAGTTAATTGTTTTGAGGTTATTAATCATAGGTCTAACAAAAAACCAAAAAAGAGTTTTTTTAGACCATTTAATATATTTACTAAGGGATGGAGGAAATCTAATTTGCGAAGCCATAGAAGAATTAGCAGATTATGAAAAAGTTAATTCGTCAGTATTTGATGAAGAAAGAGAAAAACCACCAGAATTAAGTAAAAAATTATAAGATAATGCTATTATTTATTCCATAATTACATAGTTTATGTAAATATTTCAAATTCAAAATTATTATGATTTTTATGGTATATTTATAAAAATAATCTTTAATACATATATATTATATATTAACTTTATTAATGAACTAACTTAACGAAAATTATGACAACTCTAAAAAATCTAATGACTTTAAGAATCGATAGAGATAATCATATTGGAATATTCTAGGTTGGATTCTTAATCTTAAGCTGGATAATAATATATGAATTTTCTTAGGAATTATTTTAATTTTAATAAATTAATTGTAACCCTTACATCTTTTTAAGAGGAAATAGATTTTATGTTCTGTATCTCAATAAAATTAATTTTTTCTTAGATATTTGGTTATTCACTTAGTTGTTTTAGAGTGGCAAAATCCTAATCATGATGCTTTGAATTTATATAAAAACTAAGGAAATAAAGATTAGACATTTTTAGATTATAAAATGGCTATTGAGTTGGATACATAATTTGCTTTTGCATACATGAGCAGAGGTTCTCAGGTTATTTAAAGAAATAGGAAATTTTTTAGATCAAATAGGAAATTAATAGGAGGCACTTTTAGATTTTAACAAGGTTATTGAATTAGACCCTTATGATGCTTGTATTTATAATAACAGTGGTGTATTAAATTATTATGTTATATAGGACTTCTATTTACTTATCCTAATTGTTCTGATTTTTATTTCGATAGAGGCAATCAAAGTATTATTTTTTATGAGTAGATAATGAACAATAGGCACTTGTAGATTATGATAAAGCGATGGAATGAGATTCCAATAAATCTAAAGCATATAACAATAGAAGTGTTAAAATTAGTATAATGAAATAGGCCTTTTATAATATAAAATCGGAAACACAGACATTGCACTTATAAATTTAACAAATAATTTGAATTAAATTCTAATGATGATTATACTTATAATAACAGAGGTAATAGAGTGTTAGAATATATAGGAATGCTCTATTAAAATATTGGAAAAATAATGGAGGCTCTTGAAGATTATAACAAAGCAATTGAATTAGATCCTAATATTGCTTAAATTTACTGTTCAAGAGGTAATTAGGTTTTAGGCTATTATAGCATTATTGCATTTAAGCTTAGAAAATAAAGATTAAGCCATAATAGATCATAACAAAGCTATTAATTAGATCCTAAAGATGCTATAAATTATTTTAACAGAGGTAATCAAGATATTGAACTAAATAGGATTGTTTTATAGATATATGAGGAAATTTGATCTAGCATTTAAAAATTATACTAAAGCAATTGAATTGAACTCAAATGATGCTAAAACTTAAAACAACAGAGGTAATTTTAATTATAATTAAAAAAAGCAAATTTTTATAAAGTAAATTGCTAATATGACAAAGCCTTTTAAGATTGTATTTAAGCACTTAAATTATAATTAGACAATCCACTTATAATGGTGAATTTTTCTGATCTTTATTATTTTAGGTCATATTATTATCAATCATTGAATTATTATACACAAGCATTTGCATAATTAGACTAAATCACTCAGTAGAAGAGTAAAAAGTGGAATTTTTCAGAGGAGAATATATAATTAATTAAAAAAAAGTAACTTTGTTAAAAGAAATTTAAGATTAAAAATTTTTTTAAGATAAAATATTTACAAATTTACAAACTCAATTTGAATAAAAGAACCCAACTTTAAATGATGTGAAGGATAAATTCATTATATTAGAAAGAAAATTAACAGTTTAATTAATGACATAGACAGATTTAAAATAGCCATAAGAAAAACAAGAAGAGTTAGATTCATTGTAATTGACTAAAGAAAATCTGAAATAGATTAAATAATAATATAATTAGTTCTATTATAAGAAATTGTAAGTTAATAAAAATAAAAGAATAAGTAATTTAGAAGATGATAATAAATATATGAAAGAATATGACAGCTTTCAAATATAAGAATCTATGAAATTTATTTAAAAAGCAGAAAATACAACTCCATTTATTTATTATAAGAATTGCTTTGGAATTTATATTATTACTAGTAGGTAATGCTGCAAATTTCTTCAGAATTATATTAAATGAATAGAGATGCTATGATTGAAAGCACTTCTGAAAAGTACTAGATATAGTACAAAAGGTTATAACGTTGAATTAAAGGTAAATAATAAAATTATGCTTAATAGCAGCAATAGGGAAATAAAATTTAAAAAGGTTAAATCGTATCAAATCCTAGTTCATTATGCTGACTTAATTGTTTAATTTAATGATTCAAAGACAAAAATAAAATGAGAATTAATTAATATAAATCAAACTTCATTTAAATTTCTTATTTTGTCTATTTTCTATGATTCTAAATCAATAATTATACTTTTAAAAAGATTATAAAATTGATTATGTATAAAAGAATTGATAAATAAAATACAACATATTAGCAGATTTATTTTTGAAATCAAATATTGAGTTTTCAAAATTTATTTTCAATCAATTTTGGTGTAAAGTGAATATGTTAAAAAGTTAATGATAAATTAGTTTTTGCGTGATTTTTGAATTTCTATTTATGGGGATCTTAAAAACAATATGATTCTAAAAATAATTTTAGTTTCAAATACATTGACAAAGATTAAGAGTAGAATGCAAAAATATAAAATTAAAGTATATTTCGAGATTTATTTATAAAAACTAAGGAAATATTTAATTAATCAATTAAG